GGGGTGAACAGGTTAGGATGGGATAGGTCTAAATGAAATGAAATAGGATGGAATGGGATTGAGATGGGCTAGGATAGGATGGGGATTTGAAGATGGAACCCAGATGTGAGGGGCTTTACATGAAGCCCATCGAGATGAGGAGATTGGATTTCCCCTTGCCCAGAGTTGGAGACTTTTTTTAGCAGGAAAGTGGCATCCTTAGAATTTTCCTCAAGGAATCACTCTGCACTGATGTAGACCGATGTAGACCATGGACTTCAAGGAGAAGCCTGGAGGCCAAATATTTCTAAGATAAAACTAATGAGGCTGTCATCAATCAGAGAGAGAGAGGCCCATGAGCACCCCCAGGATTCTCTGTGACATGAGTTGGAGAGGACCCAGATTCACACTTCCTGAGGAGGGAAACTGAGAGAGGCCCAAAGGGAGGAAGATGCTTGCCTGCCAGCCTCAAGTAGGAGGCTCAGTCAACTCTAAGTGAACCAACCATTTTCTTCTCTTTTTGAGTTCTCAGGAAGAACATGATGTTATTCAGACACGGGCTTACTTCCCAAGAAAGAAGCATAAAATACCACCAGTGGGACCACAGGGACCACAGGGACCACAGGGACCACATCCCAGCAGTTGGCCCCGCCTGAGGGGTTGAACTACACTAACCTGGAGCATTGCATCCAGCCTCACAATTCTCAGAACACCTCCAGCCAGTGATTTGTCTTGTGCTGTGCCAGAATTTGCATCATTAGTCCCGTCTCACAGGGCAAAACAGGCTAAGAGAGGGGGCTTGCCTGGCCCAAGGTAACACAGCTGGCAAGTGGCACAGCCAGGAGGTGAACCCAGATGGGTTGGTGCCAAGTGCCCCATCCTGTGACCTTTCCAGAAACACAACACTACTCCCAACTTGGTTCTTTGGTGAGAAAGAAACTGGAACTCTTGGCCGTAAAAATAAAACCAAAACCAAAAGCACCTGCCACCTTCCTCACCTGTATGTGTGCGGACATGCCTCTTCAGGTCAAAGGTGTCGTTGAAGCCCCTGCCGCAGAAGGTGCACAGGTGCCTCTTCACCTGGTTGTGGCACTTGAGGTGCCGGTTGAGCATACGCTGTAGGCGGAAGCCCTTGCCACACAGGTCACAGCTGTGAACCGCCGAGTCATTGCATGTGCCTGTGGTGAACTAGGACAGAGAGAGGCTATGAGGACTCCAGTGTAGGCGGACACATCCTGGGGGCTTACCCCAGGAGCCCACATCCCTGTGTCTCTAGGCTTGGCCTGGCTGGGGCTTCTGCCTCCTAAAAATTCCAGGCAGGTTTTGGCTCTGGGGAAGATGGAACGACTGGCAGCTCCTCTCAACATTCATTCTCCCCTTCTTCCTTAGAACAGACCTCTAATTTTTAGCAGGCTACTCTGCCCCCAGATCTGCATTTCCCAGACTTACAGCAAGCAAGTCATGGCTCTATGACTACCAGCCAATGAAATATACTTTAAGGAGGAAGGATGGTACCCTTTCCCTCCTTTACTCCTTCCTGCTGGCTAGAGATCTAACAGCCACCTTGGACCACAACGGGAAAGCCAATGCTGAGGATGGGAGAGCAGAAAGAAAGGAGTCTAGGTCCAGACAACATCATGGAGCCTGTAGTAGATAGTCCTCAAAGTCAGCCACAGTCAATTCCTCCCTCCCATGCATGCATGCTGCTGCATCCATCAAGAGATGAAGACTATTTCCTCTCCTTTTGGACCAACGGGATGCAGAGAGAATGTGTCAGTTCCAGGGCCTTCTTAAAGGGCCTTGCAGCTTCTACATCTTCCCGCTTAGAAGCCAGCTTCCATGTTAGAAGTCCAAGATCACCAGGCTGTGAGGAAGCCCAAGCAGCCATGTGGACAGTGAGAGGCCAGGCCATGTGTAGGAGCACTGAGGTGCTGGGTATGAAAATAGCCTCACTAGACCTTCCAGCCTAGCCCGTGACTGCCACCAGCTGAGTGAGTGACCTCAGCTAATACTGCCCAGAGTAGAATTGCCTAGCTGAGCTGTGCCCCTGACACAAAAAATTATAAACAAATAAAATGATCATTTTGGAAATGACTTGGGCGGGATCTCACAGCTTCATTATCAGCAAAGCCACAGTGGCATCACAGGCTCTGGGCTCCCACTTCAGTGTTCTCTCAATGTATTTGCCACCTCTGAGAAAGAAAACTGAATCTATAATTATATGGTGAAAAACACCAGATCTAATATATTCATCAAAGTTTTCCTAGTTACCAAATCAGATCCTTTAGAAGAATGATTCAATTGCTCTGCCAAAATTCTACTCATAAAAGGACCTAAAAACTTTATTTTCAGAAAAACATCATTAGCAAGAGTTGGTCCTATCCTGGCTCAGTACCTTCCTAGCCTCAAATACAACCCTCCCTTCATCCACTGGGTGTTGCCGTCCACTGAGACCCACTGCAACTGTTTCCTCCCTGATGCAGCTTGTCCAACTACAACAGCCCTTGGCTGCACTATTCTCCCATCTATAAGACCAGTGTCTCTCAAGTCTCTGGTGCACATGAATCCCCTGGGGGTCTTGTTAAAATGCAGATTCTGATTTAGGATGTCTGGAGGGGCCTACACGTTGCATTTCTAACTAGCTCTTACACACAAATGTTTCCTCAGAGTTCATCTGGTTTCCTCAAGTAAGCGCGCTGCTCAGTAAATGTTTGTGTACATTCTTGACCCCCATGCCCCAAGCCCAGACACGGGCCAGTGCACAGTCAGAAAGTGCTGATAGGCAGTGGCTCACAGGTGGGAAGATACAAAGAGATACAAAAAGACCCAAGGGAAGCATAAGACCACAGAATAGGGTTTTCCTGTCAGCTTCCTCTGAACCAGTTTTCTCATCTACTTGCAGCTTAATGAGTCTCAGCTGACCAAATAGTGCCTGATCTGCAACAGGCCCTGTGCTCAGAGCTGGAGGGAATACAGTCACCAGGATGGCTCTTCCCCAAGAAGCTGCAGTGGGGGAGCAGATCAGTCAACAGGCTACTCACACCTAGGAAAACTGGGTGCAATGCACACCTCAGAGGGACACCTACCCCTGACGTGGAGCAAGAGAGAAGGTGCATCCAGAGCAAATGAGATCTTCAGCTATGAGGAGGAAGAGAGGGGGAATGGCAAAGAGTATTCCAGGAGAGGGTGTTGGGAAACAGGGGACTGTGTGGTTCCACGTGGCTAGCCTGAGCCCCAGGAAAGCAGTCAATGAAGAGAGCTCTGGTAGCAGAGAAGGGCAGGGTCCCCCTTAGGGCTCTACTTTGGGGGCCCTAACGAGCAAGACTGTTCTGAGTGGGTGGGAGGTGGGGACATCAGAAGGAGGACAGCTGCAGGGGTTGAGTTTGATGACTCAGATAGGTGGCCATCCTAGGCCCTCAACTGCCTCACACCCTGCCTCTGCTCCCCAGAGGGGTGGGACCTGGCACTCTGCCTGAGGTGGACCCATCTGTGCCCAAGGCAATCGCTTTTCTATCTCTAGGACAGGTCATGGTCTCCTTCTTGTCCAGCAGTCCTCATTCTGGTCTTACCTCCCTTGAAGAGATGTGAAAAGCCTAAATATGACCCAAGTCTTGGCAAACTGAGTACTTAGAGTTTCTCAAGGCCAAGTCTACACAGTGAGGGGCTAATAAAATGGAACACAGACAATTAACCCTGGTAATTATGATTAAAAACATGTAGAAAGCTAGAACTATCTTTTGAAAGTCCTGTAGAATGTGCCTGAGGGCTACAGTTCAACCCCGAACTCTTGTTTACTTTAATCCTTTTGGTAAATTCCTATTTTTAAAATGCTCAGCATGTAATATGGATACCTTCTAATACGGTCCACGATGAAAAATCTCAAATCACTGGCATTATTTTGTTTGAAAAGAATAAAATCTTGAAGGGCAGAGGGAAGGGAGATTGGTGACAATTTAAGGGACTACAAGGCCAATGGATCATCGGAACAAGATACAGAAAGCTGGGGAGAAAATAAGAATGGAGGAGGGATGCAGACTAAGGTAACTCTGTTTCCTCAGGGGGAGCTTTCCTCGGGTTTTCTTGGAGCAAAAATAAAAGTTCTCCAAGTATGCCTCAGCAAAGGCAATTTTTCCATTTCTCCACCTTCATATTCATCCCCATTTCATAGCATGGAAAACTCCTAGAAAACTCCAGCCCCAGCTGTCATCGGACTACAATAGCAAGAAAAGACCCACCCAGGGAAGACCCGCCCAGCTAAGCCCAGTCATTTCACAGAATTAGAAAATATAATTATTTTAAGGGACTAAATTTGGGGTTATTTGTGAAGCAGCAATTAGATTAAAACTGGAATAGTAACAGACGTATCACATCCTCTACAGAACACCAGATCTGCCACATTTCTGAATGTTCTCTCCCAAGAGGGCTGCATAAGGCAGAAGACACATCTGATTCTTGGAATGACATCCCAGGAGTCAGAGGACCAGCAATCCCTCCTGAGTCACACGTCTGCTCACCAAGCCATCTTTACTATGTTTACACAAGTTCATAGCTAACACTCTACCTCCTAAAGGTTCAAATAGGGTTAACCTATTTTACCTTGTTATTCTACTCTGCAAGTAGGAGACCAAAATTAGTTACATAATAGTTATCTTAGTTACAAAATGAGTGGAATAGGGAGACAGAAATGCTGAGGATCAAATAAAAACCTAGAGCTGGCTAGTTGTATGATGTCATATAATATCCCTGGGCCACAGTTGCCCACATGTAAAAATAATAAAATGTATTAGATGAGCTCTTCAGCAGAATAAGAAGCTAAGAGCGAAGTCTGTTTCTCAATTTCCTAAGTTTAAATCCTGCTCCACCACTTTCAGACTCTGGGACGTAGACAAGTCACTCAATCTCTCTAAGCCTTAATTTCATTACTTGCAAAGTGTAGATCATAATGATATTTGCCTTTTGGGATTTTTACGAAATTAAATGAAGAAAAGCTACTTAAAAAAAAAAAAGTCTGATGCTTGATAAGTCCTAACTCTTACAGTTAGACCAGCTCCAAAATTCCGTGATCTTAAATAAAAGTTAATTGGTCAAAACCCCTTGTTTGCTCATTTGGCTTTTGAATTTTTCTCTTTATGCTGAAAGAATAAGAAGACTAACCCTCAGTGTGAGCCACAAGTTTCTAGACCTTCATCCACAACTCTGTAATCCGAAAAGCTCTGAAAACCAACATTCTCTCCTATATCCCTTGGCAATAAAACCTGATCCAAGTTGACATGGAGTGATACATAGACTTTTCCTGTTTGGTGTCAATATTCATGTGTTTTGATATGAAAATATTAATGTGTTTAATTACAGGGTACCACTCCAGACCTGCCAGGGGTGGTATTTACACCATGCTTGCTACCTTCTGAAAAAAACTTAATAGTTTCACCCTTAATCCAAAATTAACGCTTTGCAAAAGGCTTATTAATAATGAAGTGGGGAAGCTACCATGGACGGTGGGAGATGACATCAGACTGCAGATTAATTCAGGGCAAGAAAAATGAAGAGAGATTGAGCAACTCTCGAACCCCATGGATTGGTGCTATCTTGCTTGCTGTCCTGATCTCTGCTTTCATTTTAAAAAACACACAAAGTTCCCCTCTAGTCTAAAAAACAGGCCTATGCAGCAGAAACAAACCAATCATTGTATCAGTGCTGCTGAAAACTTCAGGAGCGTCTGGGGAGGTAGAGACTTCGGGTTGGCCCTCGACCAACTTCAAAGCTGGCTAAGGTCACTTACCTGTCAATCTAAAATAAAAATTAAAAAGTAAAAATTAAAAAACCTTTTATTTTCTGTTGATGCTTCCACCAGACAAATTCACTAAATTAATGGTCCTATTTCCTGTGGGAGGGTATTATGAGCCCAAGCTACCTTCTGATGGCCATTTGAACAACATGTCCACTGACACATTTGCTATGCTTGAGTGCTCAAAACATACTAAGAGTATTTATTACTCCAATTTAGGGGGGATAAAATTTCTGCTCCTGGTCCCACTTACCATTTCCTTAGCGTCACAACTCTGCTATATGGCAGAACGAGAACCTTCTCAAATGCAGAGATGATGAAAAGAATATATGTTTAGAATCCAGAAAAAATTGAGGCTCAAAAAGCTGTAAACTGCATATAGCCACATGACTTATAGGTGCCC